GAGAGAGAGAGAGAGAGAGAGAGAGAGAGAGAGAGAGAGAGAGAGAGAGATCTTAAAAACATCTTTTTTAAAAAACTAGATTGGTTAGCAATATAATTCAAGAACTTCACTCCCAGGTCTTTAGTCTATGTATTCTGTGTTTGCTCAGTGGAAACAACCACTTTAAATATCGTGGCAAACAAACAAACAGATGCATGCACATGTTGTCTATGTTTGAGGAGGTGTTTAAGCTGACTCATCAGAAAAGGGCAGAGGGCTTCACCCTGGTGGCCAGAATGCCGATGCTCTATGGTTAGGCCTGTAGCGTCGAATGAACAAGTCTACTCCAAGATAACAGCTAATGATGTCAAGTGCCCTGGGCGCCTAGCACCAGGCTGTAAGGTCAGGCAGGGCAGAGCCCTCCACCCAGTGAGGTTAACGGGAGGACCTGCCACTCCTGTCCCTCCCGTGCAGAGGCTGGAAACCTAGTGCAGCCTTGAAACGGACATTTAGATACAATAGTTTGGCATGTGAAGAGTTCCTGGTAAATGTCATGTGAAAAGTGCAGGGTACGACACTGTGTGCACAGCTTGATTATGGTTCGTTGGTAGGAAATGGTGTTTCGAAACAGCAGCAGGAAGGTGGGCATAATAATGTATCTAATGTGAGTGACTTTTTTCCCCCTGTTTTTTGAGATAGGGGTCAATATATATAGTTCAGACTGGCCTCAAACTTTCAATCTTGTGTCTGAGCTTCCCAAGTGCTGGGATTACAGTGCAGCGCCATGCCCAACAGATGTCTTCTTTATACTTCCCCATGTCACCCACAGAGTCCACAGTGGAGCTGGGGAGGTGGCTCAGGAGACAAAGGGTCTGCCCTGTGAAAACAGGGACCTGAGTTGGATTCCTCAGAATCCACATCTACTAAAGCTGGGTAGAGTTCTGTGAAATGGCTCAGCCAGTGATGGTGATTGCTGCCAATCTGAGGATTGTTCGGTCCTCGGAGCACACATGGTGAAGGAGAGGACACACGCATGTATGCATGCATGCACGCACCAACTGTGGTGGCACACACAATGCCAGCTCCGCTGTACCAGACACAGGCAGGTCTCTGGGGCCACTAGCCTAGCCTCAGCAACAGCATCCGGGGTTGTCTTTTGGCCTCTGCACATACTCACATACTATGCATGGGCACACACAGGAGCATGCAGACATGCATGCATACCCAGAAATGTGAATAGTAGTCTATAATGGACACACGGTATTTTAATAATGAGGTAAAATTCTACCAAGTGTCTTGTTGAAAAGTTAATAGTTTGGAACAGCGCTTTTCTTGAGAAAGTCAACATTTTATTATATTATGACTCACCCATCTCCAAAATGCCAGGGAGGGAGCTCTCTTGCAGATCCCGCAGGGACTTTCGGTTGTCTCTGCTCTGTGTTCAAAGACGTGCTGTGCTCATGGTCTCCGTGTGTGGGTCCTGCTGGAAGTCTGCCACCAAGGCTCCCCGGGCTCCTGCAGAGCGTCAGCGTGGTCGGGCTTTGGGTACAGGGAAGTCAGTGCTGCTCTGTCACTTAAATACAGCAAGCCTTCCTGCAAGGTTCTCACTTTTGTGAAAAGTATTTGATTACTTCAAATAAGCAGAGAACGATCTATGGGAACTCCCTGGTTGTGCTGAGCCCCACAGTGGAACGGACTTACTCAAGGTTATTGTCAGGTTCATGTTAGAACAGCAGCAGCATTCTGAAAGGTAAATCGGGACACTCCTGGCTCCCAGTTGCTTGGGTCCTTTCCAGAAAATGTGTTGGTTTGAATTTAATAAAGTTTTGTTTTTACGAATGTGCAGTCTGTTGAACCTGCTCCTGCTTCTTTGGCAGTGGCTGGGGCATCTCCATCCTTTGTGCTTCTGGTGTAAATTACTTGGGCCCTGTGCTTTGAAGTCAGTTTGATGCATGCTTTCCTAAGGCGCCCCTGAAGGCTGCTCTGGCCAGGGAACGAGAACCTTCAGTCTCTCAGAGACCACAGCTGGAGTGGTGTGTTCATAGCTGGAAACTCTTCCTGGGGCCTCCAGGAGACCATGAGCACAGCACGTCTTTGAACACAGAACGGAGACAACCCAAAGTCCCTGTGGGATCTGCAAGAGTTTGGCAAACATAGGTTTGTCAAACAGGACGAGGTGGTTGAGTTTGTCCTGCACTTGGATCTTGGGTCACCTCTTTTGGCCTCACCTGATGGTCGTTTGCTGGGTCTTTATCTCTTTGGCTAACTTTCTTTCGTTGGCCTTTTTCTTTTTGTTGTCATCCCTGGGGGACACGGCGAAACCCCGGGAGCAGTGGCAAGGGCTGCAGCCTCGTTGAGACGCTTCCTCCCCGTGGGGTGTGTGTGAGCTGGCTTCTTAGGAAGCCAAGCCAGGCGCTTTCCCTGGGCAGCACTTCATACCTTCAGTGACACACATCCTCTTCCTAGCAAGCTTCCCTGGTGGGTGTACTAATCTTATTTGTGGAGTCTTTAGGGCACAGAAACCAGCACGAGAGCGCTGCCAGAGGGCAGACAGGTTGCCTGGTTCAGTGCTTTGGTTCCACAGGTGGAAGCCGAGCTCTAGCGAGGGGAAGGATCTCTGATGGGGCTGCAGGCACACCTGAGCGTCAGCTAGGCCGACCTGGACCAGTGTCACATCAGCTCCGTTCTTCAGAAAAGGAGGTGCTCCGGCAGCTGTGCTGGTGCAGCCCTGCCATCCCAGCCCCTAGTAGAAGAGGCAGGAAGATCAGGAGTTCAAGGCTAGCCTTGGGTAGATAGGGAGCTTAAGGCTAGCACGAGTCACATGAGATTGTGCTTCAGAAAAACCTAACACACCAGAACACAAAAAATGAAAAAGTGAACAGAGAGGGTGATGCAAGCCACCCAAAGACACCCAGTGAGGAAACTCCTCAGAACTAATTCCCAGTCTGGTCCCATAATCTCGCACCCCAGCCCTGCCCCTTTCCTGTGTCTCTGCATAACTAGCTAAGGTCTCTTTCTTCTTCCTCCTTTTTCTTTTCCATTTTTTAAAAAGATGGGGCTCGCCAGGCGGTGGTGACACATGCTTTTAATCCCAGCACTTGGGAGGCAGAGGCAGGTGGATCTCTGTGAGTTCGAGGCCAGCCTGATCTCCAAAGTGAGTTCCAGGAAAGGCGCAAAGCTTTCAGAGAAAACCCGTCTCGAACCCCCCCCCCCAAAAAAAAAAGATGGGGCTCATGTATGCCACACTAGGCTTGGACTTGCTGTGTAGCTGAGGATAACTTTGAACTTCTGATTTCCTTACCTCCTCCTCCTGCCTAGTGCTGGGACTATGGGTGTGTACCAGCTCAGGCAGTTTCATCCTTGCTGGGGATGGAACCCAGGGCTTTGCTCATGCCGGGCAAGCACTCTACCAAGGGGGCAACGTCCCAGCCTCAGGGTCTCTTTCCTTCTCAATAGTAAATCGTCATTTGTTTTCCTTTTTTTTCCCCCAACTGCCTACAGGATCATCCGGACAAAAGTACAGCAGCCCCCCAACCAGCCAGTCCCAGCTTCCAGTCACAGCATAGGTAAGAACTTTTCAAAAAAATTTGAAAATCTAATGGGCTCCAAATATTCTAAAGAACTTTTAATCATTCTTATGGACAGATAATTCTGCATAAAACACTTCACACGCGTCCTAATGCTCCTTCTTTGTCATTCTCCAAGGGCTGAACCTGGCAAATGAATTTTATAAATACTGCTAAAAGGTTTTGAATTTTACTGATTATTATGATAAATAGCTTTCACCATGAGACAGAAAATTGAAATCTAAGCCAAAAAAAATCCACTAATGGGGGTCTATAGAATGTCAGATAATTAAAGTAATAAATCAAGAAAGGGATACTTATTCATAACATTTTCTGCATCATTAGTCAGTAAGTAGTTTTGAATGTGTTTTTTTCTTCTATAACCAGCCTTCTGCAATTCTTTGTGCACTTGCAGTCTTGAGTGAAGATGTAGCAAAACTTCCCAAACTTTTTTTCTCTCTTGCTCTCGCTTCGCTCTCTTGTACACTGCCAACCGTTGAGGGCTGCCTGTGGGGTTTCCGAGGTCCACAGGGGAAGTCTAAGAGTGACCATGACTCATAAGGGTGGAGTCACACTCAAAGGTCTAAACTTTTTCCTTGCTTCCTCTTCAAAGAGGAGTTGAAAATGACATCTATAATCAAGGCATATTCTTGATGTCATTTCTTCATTTAGGACAAAGGAATACTTCTGGGTTGCTGGGGAAAAGTTACTCTATTGTAAGGAAGCAGGTGGTTATTCAGCAAGCCTCTGCCAGTTTGGGTGCTATAGACCCTAAGAATTCTGCAGCACTGCCTCTCAGATTGTACAGTATTCCAGTCCATTTATCATTGCCAGTTACATCTGTGTGTATGTGCAGTGTGCATGCGCTTACTTGAGGAGGCCAGAAGAGGGCGATGGATCCCTTGGAGCTGGGGTTACTGGTAGTCATAAGATATTTGATATGGGTTCTGGGAACTGAACTCAAGTCCTCTGGAAGAACAGCAAGTGCTCTTAGCCCACAAGCCATCTCTCCAGCCTTCACCACCATTCTTTCTTTAAATAAAAACCCGAACTTCTCACGGTGATGAGGAAGAAGACTGGCAGGGGCCTGTTATGGTTCCAATTCTGGCATTAGCTCACCCAGCAACCAGACAAGTATCTCATCTCTGAGCATCAATCTCCCCCTTGTTACATGGTGTCCCCTGAGTTCTCTGATCCTCTGAGGGTGACTCTTTGAAGGAAGGTAAGACAAAGTCCTGCCTGCCCAAGACCATTCTTCATTCTGTGCTGCCATTGGAAAGACTTTACTATGCCCTTGCTATGTGGACCCTGGGGTTGGAAATCGATGCCAGACAAAAAAATCCCTGTTCTTAAGGGCTTCCAGTCCCATAGGAGAATGTGGGAAGGTAATTTGAAAAACAAGCAAGCAAACAAACACCCTACAAAACAAAGCAAAAAATGAAAGCCCAGGAATCGGGTCTACATGAGTAGCAGGAAGGGCCATTTCTCTGCTGGGTGGAATGACAGGGTTGAGGAGGGTTTCCTGGGTGGGGTGAGGGGGTGTTTGTGGCTGAGATTTCACTTGTGGCTCTAACTGTCCCAGGGTATGTAGCATGAAAAGATAAAACTATCCTTCATTAGCGTGAGAGGAATAATTCTACAGTAATTCAGCAGAGTGGTATGTTTTGCCCCAGAAATTTCTATGAAAACTTTATCTCACATGTCTACAGCCTCATATAGTTCACAAACTTATTGAGCGTGGAGGACAGCCGGAGCTCACAGGTTGGGTGACAAAAACCCTATGTGAAGCCAGAACAGGGCCCTGGGTCCTCTGTGCCCAGTGTGTGACTGCAAAACACCTGAGCAGTTGTTGTTGGCCAAGCCTGTTTTCCATGTGGCTGTTGTTTGAAGTGCCAAGTGAGCTCTCTATTCCTTTGTCCTTTGCACCTCAATACAGAAGAGGTCATGGGATTTGCATAAATCTATTTTGAGGAGCTTTTCTGGTGAAGGGAAAGAGAAGTTAGCCATTTCTGCATTGGTGTCTCTTAAGGGAGATCTAAACTCAAGCTCAGATGTGAGCAGAAAGGCCCTGCACCCTCTAGGCCTGTAGAGCTAGGGGCTGCCTCTGCTCCAAGGAAAGTGGCTTATGGCTCCAGCCACACCCTGCTCTGCAAAGTAAAGGCTCCACCTGCCTCTGGCTAGCTGCTCACAGAGAGGTGTGTGAGAGCAGTCTACTGGTCTTAATGAAGGGAGGAAGAACCCTCACATCTCACAAGTGGAAATCCAGCCACATAGCTAGAGCGGATCTTCATAGGGCCCCTAGACTCCAGACTGGGAGTCACTGTGAAACTTGCCGCAGGCCCCTCCCCTCCTTTGGGACTTAGAGACCTGGTCCTGGCCACAATAAGTCATCACCACCTCTGTTTCCGAAAACTTGTAGGAAGGAAAATTTTAGGCCTGAGGCTAACTATGAGTGCTGCTTAGCTAGATCACTTTGAATATCTTCACCTTATGAAACTAACTTTCCTCATTTGGCAAATAGAAAAATAATCAGTAGCACCCTGGGCTGTCGCAACACCCGAGTGAAAAGCAGGATATCAGTGGGAGACATGTCTTTCTCCAGTTCACCAGTGAAGAGCATACTTCTTATTATATTTTATTTTGTGTGTGTGTGTGTGTGTGTGTGTGTGTGTGTGTGTGTGTGTGTGTGTGTGAATCTGTATGCACGCATGGCTGGAATGTAAGCAGAGATGAACGTGGCTCAAGTATGCATCTAGGTCTTTCCCCCACATTGCAGAGGCACCAGCTGCCCCCCTCCCACATCCTCCTGTCTCCTGCACCCTTGGGCTGGCTGAGATCTTAGCAATCCCCTTTTTATTCCGCGCTTGTGTTCCTTTCTGCTGGGTTGTACCCAGCCCCGTGTTTCTAGTGAGCGCCCTGGTGACCGGCCCGCACCCCTCTCCTTCCACAGTGTCTACAGGCTCCGTGACGCAGGTGTCGTCGGTGAGCACCGACTCCGCAGGCTCCTCGTACTCCATCAGTGGCATCCTGGGCATCACGTCTCCCAGTGCCGACACCAACAAGCGCAAGAGGGATGAAGGTAAGAGATGGCCGCGCATCCCGGTCAGGGGTGCACCAACCAGGGTCTGCGAGGGGCACTCATAGAAGGCGAGCAAAAGTGCCAGCTCAACACCCTCACCTGCAGAGGACTGGAGTTCCCAGGGCCCTGTCCTTTCCTCCGAGACAAGGAAGACAGACAGGCACCCGAGCAGGGACTCGTTCCCTGCTGGTCTCTACCCATGTTCACTCCTTGGGTGAGAAGAGCCACTGCTGCCTGCACTTTGCTGCTTTTGAGAGAATCCTGAGGACAGATGGCACCCAGGGCTGCTGTGTAGACGGTCTTAGCTCAGCCACAATGTCTCCTTTGTGGGTTTTGGAGGCAAGAGATGGGTTGGGCAGGGCAACCACTGCTTTGCTCTGCAGTGAGGGCGACGTGTGGGGAGAAAGGGCAGGAACTAGAAACGCTGCTCTGTGGGGGAAGGGGAGAGACGATGATGAAGGGCAGAGGGAAGTCAATAACCAACTCATCATTGCCCTTGGACCCGAGATGAAGGAGTTCTGGGTCTCCTGGGGATTACAAAGATGACAGCCTTCTCCTGTGCTGTCTGGGCTATTGGAACTGGCCACCTTTGTGTAGGACACAGACTACAGTGACCGGGACTCCTTCCACTAAATGACCCCCTGGGAGTCTGTAAAACCTTAGTCAGAAAATGTGTGTGTGTGTGTGTGTGTGTGTGTGTGTGTGTGTGTGTGTGTGTGTGTGTGTGTGTAAGCTCTGGTCTGGGGCTGGAGAGCAGAGCGACAGAAATTTTGATTCAACTGTCTGTCTGCTGGCACAATTCTTCCTCAGCATCATGTAAGGGATGTATGTTGTCATGAATACATGCCTAACTACTTAAGATTTGTAACTAGAAAATGTAGTCAGCCCCGTGGTGGATTGGCCTGGGGTCTTCAGGGCCCCAGGCATTGGAGCTGGCCTCAGTGTGCAATGGTAGGCCAAGCTGGCATGATTCACGGCTCTCGGAGTGTGCTTCACCCGCTTCCCCTGCTCCCATACTTCGGAACAGATGTCAGAAGTCTTTAACTCAGTGGGTGGCGGTGCCAGCTTGCTGCAGGAGGCAGTGGGCCTGCCATCTCTGTTGGTTTATGGGGTTGATGGTGTTATCTTTTTCCTCCATGTCACCTGGACTCTAAGCAGATGTACCAAGCTGGTGCCTGGCTATGTTTGATCCCAGTGAAGGGATGGCTTAGAGGATGCTCCTTTGCAGCTGGAAAACTCAGGCAGAGTTTTGGAGAAAGCAAAAAAAATAAAAAATATCTAGCTTAATGTTTATTAACGGACAGATTCTGATGGGGCATGGTACTAGAGAATTCTATGGGTTAACTTGATCAGAAGAAGCTTTTGACCCTCCAGCCAGGCACACAGTAGGTCATAGGTGGCACATAGTAGGTGGTTGATGTCCTTGAAGGTTCTGTTTGTCAGCTTGTTTACTGAGGATGGTGGCTGCTCTGGAGATACTCATTTTAAAACATTTATTTATTTATTTATTTATTTATTTATTTATTTATTTATTTATTTATTTATTTATTTATTTATGGGTGGGGGTGCGCAGTGCCATGGTGTGCACGTGGGGATCAGAGGACAACTCTCAGGAGTTGGGATGTGGTGGTGCATGCTGTAATCCTAGCACTTGGCAGGCTGAGACCAAACTCTGAGCCCAGAGTCAGTGTGAGCGACACGGTGAGTGAGGGCCTGTCTCAAAGACAACAGAAAACCAAGACCGAGGAGGGTTCAGGATGAGATGTAGGACTGGATGCTCTGCACTGCTACCAGTTCTGAACTCTAGGAGAGTCTTGAACCCTGGGAAGACGTTGGGTGAAATTTCTGTCTGTGGTACAGAGGCCAAGACAGGAAGACTTGATAGTCTTGGGAGGTTCACAGGATTGAGAAGAATGAGGACCTGAGTGAGTCCTCTCTCGGCTGCCCTGCTTCAGGAGGAGCAGAGCGGCTCGAGCCGAGAAGTGGCTCTTGTTGGGGCGATGTCTCAGGGGCGGGGGCACTGACAGGTCTCCCCGTCCTTTCTCATCCTCCCTCTGTCTTATGGATCCCTGAGTTAGCCTCAGAGAGGTGGAGCTCGCTGGTGCACTATCATCTGCCTCAGAAGGGGCAGAGCCAACACCCCACTTTATCAGGGACGGTAACCCAGGATGCAGGGTGCTCTGTGCCATGGACAGTCGCGTAGCTTGTGTAGACTGGGAAGTAACGGAACTGAAGAACCCTGAGGCTTCACCCCCTGGTGTTATCCGGACGATTGTCACTGCCTGGTCTTCCAGAGGGGAGCTGCGGAGGTGAAGCAGCCTGTGGCCGGGTAGAACCCTTGGTGGGCATGAAAGAGTGGCAGGCTGAGGAGCATGGTTAGTAGGCTGGATGATGTTGAGGGTGTGGTGAAGGGAGACCTTGAGGGAGCAGAGAGAGTATGATTCAGTAACCAGGGCAATACAAAGAATGGCTGGGCCCGGCAGGGGCCAGCTGGGGTGAGACTTCACACTGTGGATATGGAAGGGTGCTGATCTCCAGGATGGTAAGCAGGCTGCAGGAAGAGAATCTGCAGGAAAGGGGTATTCAAGAGTCAGGAGGAAGACAGCCGGGCACCCCGTTCCACGTCTTCATGAGGTAACTAAGACTTCCCAGTGGAGCTCGCTGGTGCACTATCATCTCCAGCTTGGACTCGGGTTATGCCCTGTGGGTATTTCCTGCCCAGACCCCAGGTTTGGGAAGGCAATGATGGGACGCAATCTCATGCAGAGGGCAGGCTAGGGGGATCAAGACTGAAGGCTCCAAGTCTCTCCAAAGGGCAAAGTATGAGGTGACACTCTCCCCGGGGGTGGGATGAGCAAGGCCAAAAGGGGTCTTTTTTGATCCGAAGGGTCTCAGAAGACTCTTCTCAGGAGCTGCATCAGAGGACTAAGGAGAACATGCCGGTCAAAGGTAATGGAGAGCGTGCCCGGTCTGGGACTCCAGTGAGCAGGTACAGAGAAAGACCAGTTCCAGGACTTGGACAGGGAGAGAGATGGCAAGCATGTCAGGTGGCTCGATACCAACTGTAACCCCTGAAATTTTAGTTTGAAAAATTGGAGACTCAAGAAATACTGTGCTGAATGTTTGGGGGTGTTGGTGTGGTTTTGGAGGTGATTGGCCCACCAGCCCTGTTCTGTAGAAACAGAACAAAGGCCGTAGGTGTCATTAACCACTCTCTGGAGACCAAACAGTCACAAGAAGGGCAAGAGTGACCATGTCCTCCTCGCACTTGGAGGTGGGATTGAGTTCACGGCCAGCCTAGCCACACCGCAAGACTGTCTCAAAAAAAACCAAATCTGGGTGTGTTAACACACTTGAGGATCAAGAGTTCAAGGTCAGCTTCTGACTGCTTAGTAAGTTTGAGGCTAGCTTGGGCAATGGGAGCCTAGTCTCAAGAGATAAACAAAAACAAACAAAAGATCAACCAACCAATTCCCCACCCCAACCCGATAATGAGTAAAAAGAAAAAGAAAGTAACGGGGTTAGAGGTTGAGAAGATGGCTAGGGAGCCTGGGTTTGGACCCCCTGCACCCTAAAAAGCAGCTTCAAGCAGTGGTGTGAGCCTATAATCCTGCTCTGGGGAGACAGAGGTAGATGATCCTTGTGTTCACTGGCTGACCAGCCCAGCTGAACCGCTAAGCTCCAGGTTCATTGAAAACCCTGTCTCGCTGGACAGCGGTGGCGGTGGCACACGCCTTTAATTCCAGCACTCGGGAGGCAGAGTCAGGCAGATCTCTGTGAGTTCGAGGCCAGCCTGGTCTACAGAGTGAGATCCAGGACAGGCACCAAAACTACACAGAGAAACCCTGTCTCAAAAAACCAAAAAAAGAAAAAAGAAAGAAAGAAAACCCTGTCTCAAAAAATAACCTGGAGGGCGATGGAGGAAGACACTCGGTGTGACCCTCTGGCCTCCATGTGCTTTTACACCCACACACACTGTGTATGCTCTTACACACACTTGCACAGAAACAAGTGGAATTAGTCTTAATAACGTATTTTCCTAGTCTGAACATTATCACTTCGACATATAATCAAATCTTCGGATATGCCATGCTGCCTCTTTTTGTTTGAACTAAGTTGTTGAAATATGGTGTACATTTTACATGCATAACACATCTCAGTTTGGACCCCAAATGTCTGAAACCTCCAATCAGATATTGTCAATCCTGTTTTTTCTGTGGCTTTTGTTTTTTTTATTGCTATTTGTTTTAAATTTGTTAATTAGTATTACTGTTGTGTACGTGTGATGTGTATGGGTTAGGGCATTCACATGTCACAGAGTGGAGTTTAAAGGTCAACTTCGTGGACTCGGTCGGTTCTCTCCTTCTACCTTTCTATGGTTGAAGTCCTGTCAGCCAGCATGTGCTACAAACACTTCTACCCTGAGTCACCTCGCCAGCCTAGTTTCTGTTTTGAAAATTTAAGTACATTGAAATGAAATGAAAAAAAAAAAATTAGACAAACGTGGTCAGTAGATCATGCCTATAATCTCAGCACTTGGGGAAACGATGCAGGAGCATGGGTTGTTGCGGGTCTGACGGCAACCTGGATTGTTCCGTGAGTTCAAGGCCAGCCTAGGATACATAGCCAAACTGTTTTAAAACAAGAAGAAAAGCTTTAGTTCTCAGTTGTACTAGCCGTATTTCCAATGTTTGCCCATCACAGTAGGCTAATGGCTACTGTATTGAACAACGCTGAGTATGTCATAGATGTTCAGTGAATGCTTACTGGTAGAATGGGTCACTCATGTGCCTTCAGAGGGTTCAAAATTAATGAGGAGGGCAAATGAGGTCTCTGGTCTCCTCAGTCACAGGGCTTCTGTCTAGCGGGTTAAGGCCTCCACAGAAAGCCCTACTCGAGGAGAGTCCTGGAGCCACAGCAAACAACTTAGGACATTGGCAGACCAGCATATGAGCAAGGGTCCTTTCAGACTAGAAATTCCAGGTTTCTCTCCAGGGTGT